TCCCCGCGCCGGGCTCGGGTGGGAACCGCGAAGTGCCGGGGCCCTTTCTTTATCCGTACGCGATTTTATTTTTATTTTCATTGCACGTTTCGAGTTTCTTATTAGTTGTGGCGTGACATGCATCTGTATTTGAATGTGAAACTCGCTTAATAGGTTGTATTTTGGCACATCTCAGAGCTAGACAAGACTATTTAATTTGCTAAGTCTCGCTTCTGCAGCTACGTGTAATTTTCTTCTCCTGCTAAAAGTCCTTTGGAAACGCTGCAAAAATGTAATGAATATGCAAAGCAGCCAGCTCTCAAATCCAAATCCGGTTTGTCTTCAGAGACTTTTCAGAACGCCCAAAGTGATCAAGATATATTATGAAATAATCACTTTTCCCTAAAATACAGGAATGGGGTATTTCGCACTTTCTCCTTGTGTGTGTTCCTAATTTAATTGGTGACAGCTCAAATATAATTCACCTGAAATGAAAATCTCTAAAAATCACTTAGGGTTGCTCAATTGCTCTTACTCCTAGTGCAGCCTTAAAAAGCAGGAAAACTGCTAGTGAAGTCCTTGCCCCTGCTTGCATCCCACAACTCCCGAGTTTTCCTTCTCCTAATACTTCACCCACGTCCACCACCTGCTTACTGCAGCCGCCTGTCTTCCTGCCACCTCCGGGAAATGTGCAGCTTTGAACTCGGACCAGGCAGAACGGGCAGAAACGGGTGGTTTCCCGTGGTTAAAGATGTTGAGCTGGGCTGCTGCCACTGCCGGTTGTCTTGATAGAGGGAGCCGGTTGCAGAAATAGGTTGTGATTCCTACACTGGTTGTTTACAAATATTTAGTAGTGCCGTGTGGTGTCTCTCTGGGGGTTTTGTTTTCCTTTTTCCTAGGAGTTATGTTTGTGGTCAGAGTTAAGGTGACATCCAGCGTTTGGAGAGGAGGGCATGGCATGTGGGGTGATAGGCTGTGGATGTGAATGAGGTAACGTGGAAAATCAGAATGCATGGTTGTGGGTTGCAAAGGCTGAGTGAAAATCTAACTTGTGATTTCCTGGTTCTTCCGTGGCTGTAACAGTATGCAGCCTTGCATGTATTTTAAACAGCTTTGTCTGTTATGGGGAATTTCGTAGCTTCTTTGTTTGTGAAAAATGTAAAAGCCAGCTGCTCTTCCCTATGTGTTCCCACACTCCTTACGGGTATGGACAACGAGCAAAGAAGGGGGAGAAGTAGCAGCTCAGCTGCCATCGCTGCGTTCATTTATTCCTGCAGACCCTCCCGTGCCGGCTTCGCGTTCCCGCCTTTTGCCGTAAAAGGGTTTGCAGTTGGCCATACCTTAGAAGGTCTACCTGCTCGCTCCTAAGGCAGCAGATCGTTCTGGATAGCTTCTTAGTGTTTGCCAGAGGACATGAGCAGGCTGTTACTCTTGAACCAGGTTTGTCTGGGATCCCAGATTAGAAAGCCGAAGACTTAGAGGGCAGGCTGCGGAAGAGGGGGAACACATGCGGTGCCCCAGGGTCTTAGGCGAGGTGCTCTTCCCAGTGAGGAGCATACACAAGTCTCCTGGCTGTGAGCTCGCCCTGTGTCTTCTCGTTGCATAACCTCTTCTCGTGCTCACCCTTTGCCCCCAAAGCACGGCCCCTGCTGCGCTAAGAAGTGAGAACAACGGTGGTGGAAAGCAGTACTTTAGGTGTCTTAGATGCAGCTTAAAGGTCACCCGAAAGACATGTGGTGCTGAGACTTGAGTGGGAGTGCTAAGGGTTTGCCGTAGCCGCATAGGTAAGCAGAGCCAGGCAGCAATGGCAAATGCCGTGTGTCCCTTGGGTTAACGGTCTCTTACGATTCAGGCAGTGCTGCGCTGCTTTCTCAGCAAACCTTGTTTGTTGCTTGTCCTCTTCCTAAGCCTCATCTTACTCCTCCAGGTCGACTAGCTTACCTGCTTTGCTGGCTTTATAGGCTGCGAGCTGAGCCGAACCAGTGGAGTGGTAATGTCTGGAAAAGCAGCGTAGCTGGTGGCATGGTGAGGCTGTCTCGGAAAGGGGAGGGAGCCTTCCCCTTCTAAAAGTTTAGAAATACCTGGGATGTCGTTGAGGTGAGTGCAGAAGGAACTCTGTTTAATGAGAGGAGAAAAGAGGTCAAAAGGAGGAGTGTTTGAAAATGCCTTCTCTGCAGAAATCAGTAGCAGTCGTAAATGGAAAATTTGCGTGGCCCTTTCAGGAGTTGCTGTACTAAATTTGGAAAACAGAATTGGTCTTTAAAGTACAAAACAAAGGGATTTCAGTTTTGCTTTAAATGCAAATCTCAATGCAGTCTGAACTGTGGACTCGCTACTGACGCCTCCATAGTACATATTAATCCAGTTTTATCTGTCATGAGGAGATTTGTTGATAGAAGCCTCTAGGTAAAGGCTGCTCGTGGACTGTTGCTGCTCTTCCAGCCTGTGGGCTGGAAAAATGAGCTTCATGCCTTGCCTGGAGCTCTTGGGCCGTGTGTAATTTCACTGCCACTGTCCTCCTAGGATTCAATTTAGCTCTCTGCACAAAGTCCATTTATGTAGATTTTGTGCTAAGATGAATGACTTTCGGAGCAAATGGGTATTCTTTTAACAGTTGCATAAGTTAATTTGTGGTATTGATGGTAGAAAGTCAACATCATTTGAAATGGGAGGGTAGGAACAGTTTATTGAAATGCCAATTACTAAACTGTAATCTGTTAGTTTTGTTTGTCTTGTCAAAGTTTGTATGGAATGGGAGGAGTTTTCTAAGAAATTCTGTGAAGTAATGACAATTTTTAAAATACTGAATTATGTACCATTTGAAGGATTACCTTAAGTGATTTTCCTCATTTTCCTTGTTGCCTCTCACATCTTTGAGTGTAGACAGTACTTAATTTTCTGAAATTAACTGTTATTTTTGAAAGCTAAACTGTATTTCTAAAATATGTAGCTCTTAAATGTTTCTAGTTTCACCCTGAGTTCCCAAGTGTGTGCAGTTCATTAGCTCTTGAGCTCACCAGCAGCTCCTTGCGATGGCTGCTCAGATCTAAATGGCTATTGCTGTCCATTCTGTTTTACAAATACCGGAGTACAAAGAATTACATGTGCAGCTGGTGGTTTTGGGGTTTTTGTATTTTTTTCTTTTTTTTTTTTCCCAGGGCTCCATATCTCTTCTTGAAGAGATTGTTTGTAGGTATCCCATTGCTGCCACATACGTTTTTGTGAAGTTTCTGTTGGCCTCCTAATTTTATTTCTCTCTAGTAGAGTTTAATCAAAGTTTCGCAGCAAAAGCCTAATATTTCAGATGCCTCCTGAATAGAAGTTGAGTTCCGTTTGTTACATCTGTACGTTTGAGTTGCTGAAGAAGCCCATATTGTAAAGGAAAAAAAAATATGCAAAAGTGCATATTGTAAAAATAAGTTCTGCCTTAGTTTTACTTCTGATTACCAGCCTTCCAATGTCCCTAAGCATACATATATTCTTGCATCGGAGTTTTGGGGGGAGGGGGTTTGCATGTTATTAAAATAGTTTCCCCCCAGTGTGTGCAAATCATTCTGTAACTGCTGATTTTGGGGTTACTACTATGTGTTTTTTAAAGTGCAACATGACAGTAGAGCCAGAGTAATGCTAGCAGACCAGCTCTGTGTTTTAGTTCTGTTACTTTCCCAACCAACTATAAATTACATGCTTTAGACCTTATTGATTGGTGGTTTAGCTCAGTACAGTAATACTGGAAATTACCCGCCTGTAGTTGTGAAAGCCATCGTAGAGTGAAGTGGTGTGTGTGTGAGAGATCTTAGAATTCTCTGAAGAGTTTATTATTTGCGGGATAACTGTGGATAACGGGTTTTATGAAGTTGAAACTTGTGCAAATGTTTTTTCTGCAGCCGTAAGTGTAGAACACTGCTGCAGTTTGTCTGTTGGGAGCCCTTGGAGCGCAATTGCTGCATTGCTGAATGGTATTTCATGTCAGAATTATCAACGCCATGCAGGTCTGTTAGCAAATAGAATGGGCAAGTGAATTCAAAATAACATTTTTAAACTGTATGTGTTGGAATCTCTCAGTATTTTTGCTTTGTCTGTGGATGTTCCTGCCATAATTAAGCTCAGTAGAAACATTAGGTCCTTTTTATGCGAAATGGGGAAAACTGTAGAAATACTTGGTTCTGAAACACCCTTTTACTGACACAGTTCATTAATCCTCTGGGGTTCTGTGAAGCACTTTTCTTCTTTGCTCTCCTTTTACAGTCCTCCACACTGCTATGGGGGGAAATGATTTGAGAATTCAGAAGAATTGAAACTGATGAGCTTTTTTTCTTCAGGGGATCAAGTATTCAGTAATTCTTTGGAGTGTTTTGTGATCATTTTGATCTGAAGATATAAAAGAGAGTCAAGTAGAAGCAGTGAGCAATATTGAATGACATTCTTTGGAACAAACATGAAGTGGCAATGCTGAAAACAAGCTGGCTTTGTGTTTGAATCATCTTTTTTGTAGGTGCATCACAACTATCTGCTGATTTGTTTTTTCACAAATGTTTCTATTAAGTTAACTAGTAAAAAAATAGAGCTTTCACCCCTTTTCTCACTTCGTACGTGTTCTTATAATGAGAGAAAGAAATTCTGTCCCCTGAGTTGACAGCCTTACGGAAGGATGGGTGGTGGATGGGTGCATCTGGACGTTGGCATTCTGGTGCTCATCTTCTCTCTGTTTTTACTGTTTGCAGGTTCTGTCATCCGTGATGGCGTCAGCTCTACCCAGAACCCTTGGGGAATTGCAGCTGTATCGAATACTACAAAAAGCAAATCTCTTATTCTACTTTGATGCCTTCATTCAGCAGGGTGGTGATGACGTCCAGCAGCTCTGTGAAGCAGGTGAAGAGGAGTTTTTGGAGATAATGGCTCTCGTAGGCATGGCTAGCAAGCCGCTTCATGTCCGAAGGCTGCAGAAGGCTTTGAGGGACTGGGTCACAAACCCTGGTCTTTTTAACCAGCCTCTCACCTCCTTACCGGTCAGCAGCATTCCAATATATAAGCTGCCGGAAGGGTCTCCTGCGTGGCTGGGGATATCCTGCAGCAGTTATGAAAGGAACAGCAGCACCAGAGAGCCTCACCTGAAGATTCCCAAATGTGCTGCCACGACATGCGTGCAGAGTGTGGGCGCAAGCAAATCCGATGTGGTGGGGAACTTATCGCTGCAGAGCGGCAGTGAACCGAGACTCTGGCAAGGACACCACACCACAGAGAGCGAACATAGTCTTTCCCCGGCTGACCTTGGCTCTCCAGCTTCACCAAAGGAAAACAGTGAGACCTTGGATGCCGCTGCTGCTCTGTCAGTTGCTGAATGCGTAGAACGTATGGTTCCCTCCCTGCCCAAAAGTGACTCCAATGAAGTCAAGGAGTTACTGAAAACAAATAAGAAACTGGCAAAGATGATTGGTCACATCTTTGAGATGAGTGATGAGGACCCTCACAAAGAGGAGGAGATCAGGAAGTACAGTGCAATATATGGCAGATTTGACTCAAAAAGAAAGGATGGCAAGCATCTCACCCTCCACGAGGTAAAATACCATGAGCGACAGTGGGCTTCCTCCCCTATTCCTACACCTTTTACAAGATGCTGTTCACAGGGTACACTTTGTAAGGGCACTTCTTGCCGGGTGATGAGAGTTGTGTGTCTTAGAGGAGCCGTAGGCAGTCCTGCCCTGGGATAGAAATCTTGGGTGCAGTAGAAGTACCCTTTCTTGGGTGTGTGTGTGCACTGGTGACCTCACCTTGGTGTCATCAGACTGCTCCGTTACTGGTGCGGCCTGTCAGACAGAGGTTTTAAACAGTTTGGGACTGGAATAGCAAATCAGCATTGCACTGAGCATGGCCCTTGGGATTCTAAGCATTTGGCACATTTTTAAAGCAGTCCTGTCTTGATATTCCCTTGCAGCTTTGAGAGTAGACTGGTTGTTTGGGAGATGAGTAACTAAAATCGCTTGTGTCTGGTAACAGGATCACCTGGCTTGGTTACTACCCTCTGCTGTCTTCCCTCACCTCGAGACCCTGCTCTGTAGCTTGTGCCCTCGAGGTAAAAAGGATTCTGCTGATGAGGTCCCTAAGCCTGATGGGGTGGGATTTTTTTGTGTTTGAATTGGAATGAAGCTTAATTATACAACCTGTGTGGTTTTTTGGGCACAGTGGTCTTACACCAGTCAAGTGAATTGCAGATTGTGTGAGGAGGAAGGGAAAGGACCATCTTCAGTATTGATCAGTGGCTGTAATTTGAAGGTTTGTCCTGTAATACCTGCATAGCATCTGTTCCCTCTTGTCCTTAAAAGTCCACGCGGGCCTCCTTTGCTTCTCTTCTGGCATTCTTGAGGCTCACACTGCATACATTGTAATGCAATAGGTGTGTCTGTGTGGAGAATAGTTCCCTAGTGCCAAAGTACAGTACAGGAGGAGAACAAACATTAATTCAAAGCAGTGCCAAAATGCTGTTGATATGAATGCTGCATCAGCATTTTCACAGTTAACAGTGATTGCAAAATTTCAGTTGGATTTAAAATTTGGCATGTAAGGCTTAGCTCCCAAAGGGAAAGGCAATGTTTATGTTACAGGAGTGCCAAAAAAACTGTACTGGCTTTAGCCTTTTTTTGCTTCAAGAAGAAGTTTTGTAGGTGTGTGATCCATAGCGTAAGACTAGGTTCTCTTTATGCTTCTGAGTGGAAGGGCAAAAGGAAACAAGGCATATTTCTTTACATTTTTGTTTATGTATTTACATTTATAAGGCAACTGCACATCACCAGCAGTGACTTCACAAGGGCTTTTACTACAGACTGGGGAGACACTTCCAAGGGAACTTGTCAGTAGTCAGCCGCATTTCTACCACACAGTTTTAGCTGTGCAGCTTTCACTTACGTGCTTTGTGGCTTTATGTTGAACACTTCTAATTTATGAATTCATCCAGTGTGCAAGAACAGATCTCGTCCTACTCCCCTGACCTTGCGGGACTCTCTCCCGTAACAGAACAAGTTGCGTATGAGATGGAGGCATGATTTGAAAGGATTAATTGTGTAGATGCCCTGTGTACGTTGCTGCAGAGTCAGAATTTGGAGAATGGGGGTCCTCCCCAGCTGAGGATGGAGGCAGTCAAGGTGTACAATGTGTACAGCTGTGCGCTTTTGCAGTTTCTCTCTGGGATAGCAGCTGCAGAAAATGCTCTGAAATGTGGGCAGACATCTTGTAGGATAATTTCCAAGCATCCAGCAGCGTAATGGGAGGTGGGTGCCAGGGGCAGCTTCTGTGTCAGGCGTGTGGTAGGCTCAGGAGTGGCTCTATGAAGCTGGAGGAGTGAATAGTGGCGTGGCAGTTTGAAGGAGCAGGGTAGCAAAGAACTGGAAGAAAGGACGACTGCTCTGCCTTGTTAATTTTTTTTTAGTACTGCAGTACAGATCTTACTACACCATTGTAAAACCATATTTAAAAATGGAATGAGAGCATGGTTTGGCTTTAGGAAATATTTCTATCGCTATTATGATTAAGGGCACGAGATCAAAGGAGTATGTTGTTGACTTATGCCTCACTTACGCATGTGGGGCCTCGCTGAACTTGATGGGAACAGCACACATGCAGGCAAGAAGAATTTGCTCATAATTGGTTTACTGTTTGCTTAGAGGCCAGATTTCACGAAGTTTTGTCTTGAACAGTTTTCTCTCCATTTCCATTTTAAAGCAGCAAATACACAAATAGTAGCAATGAGACCATTTTTTGTTTAAAATCTGCTAAACCAGAGTTTGCCTTTTGGAAAGTCAACTTAAGTGGATTTTTGTTTTTGATGGCTTAAACAACTTGCTGCTCAGAAGGAAGGACCATAAACAACCAGGGAGGTAAGTTTCTGCTTGTTCAGAGGCTGTGTTTCTGCACATGTTAATACATTCCAAGGCTGTCATTCTGCCTCGCCGTTCAAGGTTTCTCCTTGCAGCTGGCAATGAACAGCTGAATAAACTTCACTATGAATTTAAAAAGCTTAAGTAGTGGTTAGCTTCTTAATGTAAAGATCAGGGTATCTCTGGCTTCTCAAGCAGAGTGGAGTTGCATGCAAATTAAAATCAAACTTGATGGAATTATTAGTGGTGAATTAGTGAGAATATTCTCTGTTTCAGTATGAATACTGGAGTGTCTCAGAGGGCTTGAGCAGCCATTAGAGGCCAGTGAGAGCTGTAAACACTGAGCTGGTTTGGAAACGTGTGCTGTTGGTAGGGTTATCTGCGTAAGGCAGTGATGTAGCATAGAATCTGATGCAGAATCTTTCAGAGACATTCCAAAACTAATAAACATACTGTCCTTAATCCATCCCATTGTCTCGGTATTGCACAGCTTTTCAAGCACGGAGAACACTTTATGTTTAAAGTTGGACTGGAGGAGGGATGAGTATGAGGCATGCCCTTGAACTTGGTGACTCCCGCGTGTTTGAGTCAGATTTGTAATCTGCGTGTTAATATTTCAGGGCTTGTCTAGGTACCTATAAAACCGAAAAAAATGCTGTTTAATAGTGTGAGAAACAGGAATAAGAAATACAAGTAATACATTTTGTCTAGCTCGGTCTCTTCCTTTTCTTTTGCTGACTCACCAAAACAGTAGGGCTCAGTATTTAATTATGTGTATTTTAGTGGGGGAATCTATGAACCCCATCAGATGGGAATACACCCATCTCTTTCCATAGAGCCTGTATGGTTATGTGCTGCTCCATATCATTAAGGCTTCCAGCAAACAGAATCTTTATTTTTAGGCATGCAACACTTTCTAGCTGCAGTATTATGCCTCCTGAAAAGGCAGGAAGCCATGATGCACTTCAATTCAGTAAGTCTGGATGTGACCTGAAAGAAGAAACCGGGAAAAACAAACAAACAAACAAACATTTGGCTTTTCTCATATATTAGGATAAACAGCATTTGCCTACAACTACCCAAAGCATTTGCAGTCATTTCAGCTCTTTGCAACCTTCCAGCACTTTATTGAGGGATAAAAAACATCTCAAATTATTTTGTAAGCATTAGCCATATTATTCATCCTCGGCAAAGTAATAGCTATCACTGTTACTGAAATTAATGCCTGCTTTGGATGGTAATTCTTTTCATCAGTGTTGTATTAACCTTTTATTTTTGTATCTCCCCCCCCCC